TATATACTATACTGTTCTGTATATATCATACTATATTATACATTATGCTATGCTATACTATATTTACTATACTATACAATGTGCTAAACTATACTGTGCTATAGTTACCATACTTGACTATACTGTATATGTATACTATATATACTATAAAATACACAATACCCTATATTATACTATCCTATATTACCTTATACTACACTATACTGTCTATATATACTATGCTACAAACACATTATACTACTCTATACTATATATATACTGTAATATACAATATATACAATCTTATACTGTACTACCCTATACTGCCTTATAGTATAAACGGAGGTCCACAATTGATCCATGCAGCAATGTGGGTGAATCTCAAATGCACTATGCTACATGAAGGAAGCCAGTCTGAAGGGCTGTATATGCTCCAGGATCCCACGACATGACATCCTGGCAAAGGCAGAACTCTAGGGATAAGAACAGATCGGTGCTTTCCAGGGTCTGTGTTGGGGAGGGGTTGACCACAGAAGGCACAAGAAGGATCTGGGAGGGGACAGAACCATGTGACATGTCAATCTGGGTGGTGGTTTTAGGTAGCTATTTGTGTTGGTCTATCCTCATAGAACCAAATACAGAAAACGTTAACTTTACTTTTTGTAAGTTTTACTTGACAGAAACGGTAAAATAATAATAATAATAGTACCCAAGCTAGGCATAGTGGCTTACACCTGTAACTCCAACACTTTGGGAGACCAAGGTAGGAGGATCACATGAGCCCAGGAGTTCAAGAGCAGCCTGGACAACAAATTGAGACCCCATCTCTACAAAAAATTCAAAAATTAGCTGGATGTGGTGGTGTGCACCCGTAGTCTGAGCTACTGGGGAGGCTGACGTGAGGGGATCATTTGAGCCCAGGACTTCAAGGCTACAGTGAACCACAATCCCACCACTGTACTTCAGCCTAGGCAACAGAGTGAGACTTTGTCTCAAAAAAGTAAAATAAAATAATAGTATCTGTCTGACAACATTCCTTCACCTACATTCAGTCAGTGTTAAGGTTAGGTACCTGCAAGGCACTGAGACACACAGAATCTATGCAACTTCCAATATGGTGTAGAAGACAGATGTTAGACAAATAGATTAGATAATAAAATCATTTCAGAGAGTGGTATGTTCTGAGAGAAAATAAAACAGGGTGATGAACCTAGATGGTAACTGGGGAGCAGGGGCTAAAGTGAGGTAGAATTGGTTGGGGTTTCTACACCCCAGGTAGTAAGTGCATTATAAGTATGAACTCACTTTATCTTGGGAACAACCCTCTGAGGTACGTTTGCCATTTCCATTTTAAAGATAAAGAAACCAAAGCACAAAGATGATAAGTAATTTGTCCAAGTTTTCACAAAGCTAGAAAGTCATGTAACTGGGTATCAAACCCGGGCATCTGATTGGAGACCATTCTCTTATCCAGCACTGAGGAATGAGATACATTAATTTAGCACAGCACCTAGCACAGAGTAAGTACTACATAAATGGCCATTGTTGCTGTTGACATTACAGATCTTCAATAGGCTGCCACGTCTTTCTGTTTTTCTCCAGGGACCAAAGCGGATGTTGGATGCTCAAGTGCAAACAGACCCAGTATCCATCGGACCAGTTGGCAAATCCAAGTAAACAAATCAGCACGGTTCCCACCAGGTTCTCCTGCCACCAAGATGTGTTCTCCTTACTCCATCTCCTCCTCAAACATGTTCCATGTATATATTCTTCTGATAGCCAGCAAATGAAATTCTGCCTAGAAATTAAGCCCGAGCTGTTGTATATTGAGGTGTATTATTTACGTCTCTGGTCCAGTCTTTTCTGGCAAATCACTGTAAAGATGGTTTAGCAGGTCACCTAGTTGGGTCGGAAGAGTTGATGATCACCAAGTGGGAAAGGGAGGGAGTAGAGGAATGTGTTCAGTTTAAGTGATGAAAATGGCAGTGGTGGCCGGGTGTGGTGGCTCTCGCCTGTAATCCCAGCACTTTGGGAGGCCAAGGCGGGTGGATCACCCGAGGTCAGGAGGTTAAGACTAGCCTGGCCAACATCGTGAAACCCATCTCTACTAAAAATACAAAAATTAGCCAGTCATGGTGGCACGCACCTGTAAAAATACAAAAATTAGCCAGTCATGGTGGCACGCACCTGTAGTCCCAGCTACTCGGGAGCCCGAGGCACGAGAATCGCTTGTACCCAGGAGGTGGAGGTTGCGGTGAGTGGAAGCTGCACCATTGCACTCTACCCTGGGCGACAGAGCAAGATTCTGTCAAAAAAAAAAAAAAAAAAAAAAGGCAGTGGCAAGTAAGTTGTGGAAGAGAAATGATGCTAGAAGGAATTAAGCATTGTAGTAAACGCGTGCTTGTCCTCTAAGCTTGAAGAGGGGAGATGAAAATCCATTTGTTTGAATTCACATTTCAAGGAGGGAGAACCCGGGCAGTGTTGGACGGTTGCCAATTTCCTAGAATGGAATGTGTGGGGTATAGAAAAAGGAATGAATAAGTGTTGTTTTTCAAATAGGGTCCTTGTAAGTTATTGATGAGAGGGAAAAGGTTAACTGGGGAGGGCTTAAAATGATTTGGGAAAACAATTGCTTTTGAGGCTCAGTGACAAGGGCAAAGATTACAACTTAAAAAAATAAATAAATAAAGGAAGTTGCACAGTTATTTTGCAACACAAGGGGGCGGTAAGGGCCCCATTTTTAGCCTGTATTCTGTATCCCTAACAAAGATTTGGTCTCTGCTATCTTACATTATTAATGTTTCTCAGATGGCTGAGGGGCTCGCTTCATCTGTTCCGTCTGACACTTATCTCAAGTGTGTCTGTCATTCCTAATGTTCTCAGGATGTGCTTTGGTAAAACCCTCCCCATAACCTCAGTTAATAAAAATTCACAGAAGATTATTCAAATACCTGAGTTGTTCTTAATATCTGTACAAAGGAGTAAATAGGACCCTGAGTCTATTAAAATGTAATTCAAAGTAGCATATGATTGACTGACAGTCATGTAAACTGTGTCTTTCTTTTTCTGATTTAATAAAAAATACATTTACTTCTAAAGTATCTTTTAATTTCCAACTTTCAAAGCAGTCCCACTCTATATCTGAGACGGCTCTAACTTCTACAGTATAAAATCCATACTCTTCCTCCATTATCTTCTTTGGAAGATAATTCTCTCCCAGATCCTCCCAGATTTCCTTGTATATGGGCACACACACACACACAAACGCGTGCACCTATATGTCTGCATGTACACACACATGCGTGTATAGAATAGTGCTGTCTTAGGCCAGGTTGCCTGGAGCAGAACCTGAGATGGGGATTTGGACACATATGATATACTGGGAGTGGGCTCCCAGGGAAAGCGAGTAAGAGGGAAAAAAAGAGGGCAAGAAAGGAGTTGGGCAAGGGTTGGTTTCAGCTGGAGCATGAATTGCACCACCCAGACAGTTTGACCTTGAGGCAAGGGAGCCGGCCTTTGAACCCCCGGAGGTGAACTGTGGGCTGTCCTGGGAGGTGGAGGGATGGAGAAGCTGGGATGCCTAAGTAACTGGAGGATGAGTGCATTGGCAGTGTCCGCTACAGATATACACATATATGTTCAGATACATATTTATACCCATATTTGCATATATATGCACACATTCATGTGTATAAATATATATCATTCAGGAATAGATCCATGCACTCACACAGTCATATTTACATACATGCAAATAAATAAATGTAACTAACACAGATCCACACACACTTTGGCTCACACAAATCTATGCAATTCATCACACATTGATTGGAGATAAATATTGAATATACTCTCCTGATGTGGACCTCAACTATAAGGACAAGTTTGATGCTTAGGCAAATCACACCACGACTTTGGCAAATAGGCATTTGGAAAATGTGTTCAACAAAATATGGTATCACTCAAAACCCAGGTGTAAGTGAGGAGCGGATCCTGTGCTGCTGGGGCCTGTTAGCTCCCAGCTTGGACAGGCCGAATTCGTGTTTCAAATAAAGACCAAAGGTCTTTTCCTTGCAGCTGGGTTAGCTTTTCCACACCTCCTGACCATACCTCGAGATTACTCACACCTGTGCCTCACCCAGTTGCGAACTATCTCGTGCTGCTTAGTATCAGAATGCTTAACTTGACACGAAGCAGGAAAACAGCACTTGGGGAAGCCCTTGATGGGAGGCCCATCACTGCCATCATCAGAGCACGGGGTGATTCAAGGAAACCAGGCAGCTGCTATTCCTTTGTCTCCAAACACCGCGGGAATTGCCTGCTGCAACCTTTGGTGAGCTCCTGAGCTGCAGTCCACTGAGGAAGGTGATAGTATCATTTGCAAGTTTCACCTCGCTGGGTACAGGGGCTTTTTGCCCAGATAAGAAATGCCCCTCGGCAGGATGGAGAGAAACAGACTGAGTAGCCCAGGCCAGTTACTTAGCTAGTTACTAAGGCAGATGGAGCCCTCCCAAGCCCCCCACTCAAACAAAACAAAACAAAACAAACAAACAAAAAAAAAGCTCTTTGCTGAGAATCTCTCTGCAAAGCATGCCAACAGTTTTTATAACTGGTTTCCTATGCTCCTGGGCCAAAAAAGAGAATAGTCTTCTAATGAAATTGCTTTTTAAAAAAAAAAAAAAAGCAAGAAAGACCAGAGAGAAGTAAAGCACATGACTTATTGGGAGAACTCTCAATTCAGTTATAGCTTAAGAAACAATACTCCATTTTTGTGTTTGTGTGTATGTTGTTGTTGTGTTGAGTTGAGATCCCATTCCCAATGCATTTACAACAAATACTAATGCCCACCCCTTATGCTGACCTAGAGTGAAAAAGAGTAGAAACTCACCTGTAAACCCAAGAAAGCCTTTAGGACACAGACTCTCAGAAATGCCACTCAGACAACAAGCAGTGGGGAAAATAAGCAAAGCAAAGTGGCACACAGGAAAACATTATGAAAAGGGAAAGAATTAAGACCGGGGGGAAGGAGCAAAAATGCCTTTATTATCATGATTATTTATTGACTTATTATTTATTTTTAGGTACACAGGGAAGCGTGTCTTCTCCCATGTCAAGAAGAAGTGGCCTTTCCAGGAATGGAGCTATTGAGCTGAAATGGCTGCCACTGCACACACACACACACACACACACACACGCACACACGCACACACATGCACACACACCTCCCTTCCAGTTCCAGCTGACGGTGACTTTTTGACTGGTAACCATAAAAGAATTCATTCAAAAGGGCAGTTGTTCCCAGCAGCCAGTGAGGTCCTTCCTGCGTTCGTCGTCTTGGAGAAGGAGGCACATACCAAAATAGAAGGCAAAATGGGAAGGAAAAGAGAAAGAAAGTGAAATTCCTGTGTTTTTGTTGTATGTATCCCCTTGCTTTTTAGACAAATTATCAGGGGTTTAAACACACACTCTCTCCCCTCCCTCCTCCCACTTCACACACACTAGATTGTTCTTGTTTGTTTGCAAACAGTCCAGAAGCACTGGGGTCTCATCAAATTAGATTCTAAGTGTCTTAAAGAATGAGATTTCAAGAAACCAAGAATCTGTGTCCTTCCCCTTCTTGAAGTGCCTGGAAGGGTGCAGATTTCTCCCACCTGCATCTGGCAATGTTATTTCCTATGTCAGAGAGTCCCAAGTAGATCTTATACCTTAAAAAATAAAATAAAATCAGCTACACTACCTACCTTACAGGGAAGGAAAAAGAAATGATTCCAATTATTAACTAACCCAAGATACAAACACAGGGGAAACTAGGGAATGTGCTTTGCAGCAATGTAAGACTACAGGAGTTGGTTTTAACCATCCTTTGAATGTCCCTTTTTAAGCCTTTTTAAAAGGCAATTTTGCACGATGAGTAGAATTAGGCTTCTCCGTGGTCAAGATTTTGTTCACTCTATCAGTGCAAATTAAGTGGCACTGGCCCACTGGAAATTATAGTCTCCATTAGGAAGAAAAGAAATTACTTACCGAGCAGCAAATTCTCTAAATTTGTAATTCAGATCTTTAGCGCAGAATGCCGGTCAGGATCCAGCCCTTTGCATAAATTGGTTTTCTGGGGAGTTTAACCCCTTAGCCTCTGTTGCCCTTTTCTTGAACGGTATTCACGCAACCCTCTCCATCTCCTGGCCCTTTAACTGGCCCGGGTAGAAGTTGCAGTCCACAATTTCACAGAAGTAAGGATAATACATTGTCACACATTACCGTTTATAAAGTGCTCTGGGTACCATCTGTAATTTAAGGCTGTATTTCCCTCACTGAACTTAAGTGCTTCCTTTGTTATATTTCATTACTGGAGGACCGGCATGCACCTGTATAGATTCTTTTTTTTTTTCGTTTTCTGTTTTGTTTTGTTTTTCCAAATGAGCACTTCTTGACAAAATGGCCCCCAGCTGCACTTCTGCTATGACAGCCATGGAAGGGCTGGTTCCTTACGTGAGCTCCTCTCCCAGAAGCATGCTTTTGTCAAAATACAACCACATGGGGGAGCTGCAGGACCTGGGGTTCTACAGTGCCTAGCCTTTTTTCCCTGATTGCCTAATCAGGAAACTGGGCCAAAGCAGCCTGAGAGTGTGTATTTGTTGATTAACTTCTAGAAAGCAGTCAAGTTTAATGAGGAGAACTAGAACGAGAAAGCTGAACTGGGCAAGTCAGTTGCCTTCTACGATTCTCAGTCCTCCAAACGAAGATAAAGTTGGTTGGTTTGTGTTTCCATCCTTATCTGCTCCATCTTGGAAGAAGCTCAAGGAAGATTGTGTGATTGCAAAACGTTTAAGTTGGTGTCATTGCAGTGCATTTAAATAATCCTTACTGGCCCATCCTGCTCCACAAAGCAGCTTTACCTCTCATCTTCTCCACTCCCAAATAGAGAGCAAGTGACTTAAACTCTGAGTGTCCTCCCTCAACAATGGGCTAATAATAGAGCCTACTGGTGGAGTTGCTGTCAGCATGCAGTGAGATGGTGCATACCAAACATTTATTGCAGTGGCTGGCACATTGTAAGCACTTAGGAAAGGCAAGCTATTCTATCATGGGGAAATTTTAGCACCAAGTAACAGAAAACCCCTACTTGAATTGGCAGATAATCATAACAATAAGGGTATTTATCATTTCATATAACAGGTGTTGTATAACATCTTTGGCTTTGATTCTCTGAGACTCTGTTCCAGCTAACAACGATAATGAGGAAATGTATCTTTTCATATAACTGGTGTTAAGTCTCACAGCCTGGCTCTGGTTCTCTGACACTCCATTCTGCCATGTTCCATGGGCTGACTTCATCCTAAAACTGTGCTGAATGATGGCTGCAGTTCCAGGCAAGGGGATTTGGGAATACCATAATCAGTTTCAATGAATCATTTTGGTGAAATCATTGTTGAGAAGGCAATACAATGATGCAGTAGACAGTAAAGCCATTATTGATATCAGTGTTTTTAAGGCTCACCGTTCCCCAAACTAACTATGCCCCTTCAATTCACACTCAGGGGATTTGTGTAATGACGGTCCCCACCTTCCAAAGCAGGGCGACTAGACTGTGAACTTATCAAGATCTGGACCTTCTTGTCTTGCTCATTCACTGTTCTGTTGTCAGTGTCTAGCACAATGCCTGGACATGGTAGATACTCAACATATATTGGTTGAATGGATAAATGGATAAACAAACATCCTGTGGCCACACCCATTGGGGATCGCCTTATCCTCTAGTGTGAATTTGTTTTAACTCCGAATACCTGATCACCCTAACCAGACATCTACCCTTCCCAGGCAACCAGCCCAATGGTTCTAAAAGTACAGTCCCAGGACCAAGCAGCCTCAGCACCACCTGAAAACATATTAGGAATGCAAACTCTCAAGCCCCGCTCCATACCTGCAGAATCAAAAACTCCTGGGATGGGACCCAGTAACCTGTGTTTTAGCAACCCCTCAGGTGGTTCCAATGAAGGAGAAAATGTGAAAACCACTGGTCCAGGTAAAGCTACCACTTCACTGAGCATCAGCAGTGTGTTTGGTCCAAAGACAGGCCCTGAAGATGCATACAGAATAAAAGCTAGCACTGAACCTCACTAGATGCCAGGTATTGTGTGTCACATGACTTGACCTTGTTCACTGCTTATTTCACAGATGAGGAAACTAAGGCTCAGAGAGAGAAAACGACTTTGCCCAAGAACACACATGGCACAGCCAAGGTTCAAATCCAACCTAAGTACATAAAGGCTTGCATTCGTGTCTGTGGGACAGACAGGCAGGCAAAAAAACAACAATAATACGATGTAAGAGAAGCTAATGCAGGATGTCGTGGGACTCAGGGGAAGGCACTGGCGCAAGACCACAGCGGGTGGAGGTTGGCCACTTTGGGGAGGTGACAGTTGAGTTAACTCACACAAAGTGAATAAGTGTTGGACAAAAGAGCTCCCAGAAGAACAGCAAGGGCAAGAGCCCAGGGTCCATGGAGAGAATGGCAGGTAGCTTAGCATGGCTGAAGTGAGACTGTGGGGAGAACGGATCAGAGGATGGAAGCTGGGGAGGTGGCACAGAGGGATCTCAAGGACTTGGAGTAAAGAGTCCATAGTAACGAGTTTAAATTGTCTCTGGAGGGCAATGGGGAGCCATGGAAGATATTTGAGCTGGAGGGTGACATAGTCAGATTTATATTTTGGCTGCAGGTAGGATCTAATACAAAAGCAATTCAACTAATATTCACTGAGTGACCTGAGCTATCTGGGAGATATTTATTATAATGTGTTAAACTTCTTTGAAGATTGTAAGAAAGAGATAAAACCTCTAAATGGTTTTGACCCTTAAAAGGACACGTAAATGGTTATTTCTAAGTGTCATAAACATGGACTTGGGATTTGACCTCATCATTCACCCAGATGATTCACACCCATGATCCCAGGCCATGAGGTCTTGAGCAGATTACTTCTTCTCAGAGCCTTGGTTTGTTCCTCTGTGGAATGGGAATGCTAACAGCACTTATCTCAGAAAGTTGTGAGAATAAAAGAGACCATGCATTTAGAGCGTGTAGGCACCGTGTCTGGAAGGTCATGAGTGCTCACTTAGCTTATTGATGAGGATGCAGATGACCTCGGCCTGCAATAGAACAGATGTGTTCTCTTTCACGGACCGAAGGCCACCCAGCCTTTGGGACATCCTTAAACTTTGCCCCAGTTTCTCCTCATCCTCATAAGCAGTTGACTGGCTGGCTTATCTAGACAAAAGAAAGGAGGGAGGAGAGAAAGCAAAGAAAATGTTCATTCTCCCTGCTGTTCACCCCATTCTGAAGTAAGGCAGAATTTCTGGAGAGGGGGCTCGGGTCCAACCGTGGCTGTCCTTGGTCGTATGGTTGCATCTACTTATAATGGTGGCCAAGTCACCATGGCAGTAGGTGATGTGGCTGCCCTGCCCCATCATCTTCAGCCACCCAAGTTTACCTGCAGCACTGACAGCTTCCCACCCCAAAACTCCTCGTTCTTTGCTTTTCCTCTTGGTGGCTTTCTCCAGGGGCTGTAGGAGCTTGTTTAGCCCACCTGCATGGCATTTTGAAAATACCTGAAATTTTATGCCCCGAAGGACAACTCTCAATCAATGAAAGATGGGAGAGGGCAGGTAAATATCTCAGCTGCCCCATCTCTCAGTGGGACAATGTTGAGGGGTCGTCTTCATGTTCTCTCAAGGGTCCTCAGCAAGACCAAGCCACTCGTCACCCACAGCAGTAACGTACTCATGAGCACGCGCCCCTCCCCCCCACCATTTGTGCTTCCTGGGATCACTTCCCAAATAAACTACTTGCACCCAAGTTTTTGTCTTAGGGTCTGTGTCTTACGTTAAAAACTTCTGGCCGGGCGCGGTGGCTCAAGCCTGTAATCCCAGCACTTCAGGAGGCCGAGAGGGGCGGATCACAAGGTCAGGAGATGGAGACCATCCTGGCTAACACGGTGAAACCCCGTCTCTACTAAAAAAAAATACAAAACACTAGCCGGGCGAGGTGGCGGGCGCCTGTAGTCCCAGCTACTGCGGAGGCTGAGGCAGGAGAATGGCCGGAACCCGGGAGGCGGAGCTTGCAGTGAGCTGAGATCCGGCCACAGCACTCCAGCCCGGGCGACAGAGCGAGACTCCGTCTCAAAAAAAAAAAAAAAAAAAAGGATCACCTGAAGTCAGGGGTTCTAGACTAGCCTGGCCAACATGGTAAAACCCTATCTCTACTAAAAATACAAAAGTTAGCTGGGCGTGGCCGGGCGCGGTGGCTCATGCCTGTAATCCCAGCACTTCGGGAGGCCCAGGTGGACAGATCACCTGAGGTCAGGAGTTTGAGACCAGCCTGACCAACATGGAGAAACCCCATCTCTACTAAAAATACAAAATTAGGCGGACGTGGTAGCACATGCCTGTGATCCCAGCTACTAGGGAGGCTGCGGCAGGAGAATCGCTTGAACCGGGGAGGGGAGGTTGCGGTGAGCCGAGATGGCACCATTGCACTCCAGCCTGGGCAACAAGAGCGAAACTCCGTCTCAAAAAAAAAAAAAAAATTAGCCAGGCGTGGTGGCAGGCGCCTGTAATCTCAGCTACTTGGAGGGCTGAGGCAGGAGAATTGCTTGAACCTGGGAGGCAGAGGTTGCAGTGAGCCGAGACTGCGCTATCACACTACAGCCTGGGGGACAAGAGCAAGACTTCGTTTCAAAAACAAAAAAAAAAATCTGTGTCTTAGGGTTTTCTCGGGAACATCTATCCCATGACAAGGAGCTGAATAGAAGGACATTAATATGGGCGCTAGTTTTAAAGGTGCTGGAAGAGTTGAAAAGACAAGCATGTTGAAAAGACACCCAGAGATTAGACATAGAAATAGGCTACAAACAGAACTGCCTCTAGAGACAGATAGCCAAAGGGAAGAGGTGATGCACTGGAGCCAGGGAACCCGGGCACCCTGTGGGAAGTAGAACCCCATGTGGATGGGGGTGAGGCTGCTTGAGGGTAGCTGGAACCAGATGGAAGCTTCTGCAAGCAGTACCTTTATTGTTGTTTGGAGGGAGGAGGCAGGAAAAATATGTGTCAGTGCTGCGCATTGGCTGAACCTAACCAGAAGCCAGTTGGTAAAGGAACCTAGGAAATGCAGTTTGAAGAGAAACTTGGAAAAATGATCTAAGAGTAAACAGACAAATACCTAGCACAGTTGGTGGCTTTAAGAGGAGGAAAAAGGGAAGGGAAGGAAAGGGGAGGGGAGGGGGAAGGGGCAACCTTGATTCGGGTCCCACCCCCTTCCCTGGCTCTAAATAAATGAACATGTATGCTACGGTCATGCTGACATCTTTGTCTCCTCTTTATCTTCAGAAGAGAGCAGTAGCTATGAACACAGGCTCTGGGTCCAAACGGCCTTGGTTGGAATCCCAGTGATGCTACTTGCTAGCCACATTGCTTTGAGCAAGTTCCTTAATTTTTTCGAGCTTCACTTTCACATCCAAAAAGTGGAGACACTAGCAGAATCCACCTCACTGAGTTGCTGTGGGCATTTAATGATGTATTCCATGCAAAGCACAACATTAGTGTCTAATAAATGTTCATGCTCATGGAGACATACTGTTCTTTGAGTTATCAATCAGCTTTTTCAAGTTCCTGCTAAAACTTCCTTCTCCTCTTTATCACTCACACCTCCAACTTCAATGTCAAGAATCTACCCCTTGTCTCTACTTCACTGTCTTTAAAAAAATAAATCAATCAATCTTTCTATTTTCATAGAGGTTCTGTGAGAACTGAGGAGAAACAGCCTTTCTCCTCCCTTCTGGGCTCGTAACACTCTCTCCGCATCGCCTGCCCCCTCCCTATCTTTGCTGGCCAGTTGTTCACAAGTAGCTTAACAGTTTTGAGAATACAAAAACAGGAAACTATGCCCCAGCCCTAAGACTAAAAAACTCATGTGCAAA